TATCTATCTATCTATCTATCTATCTATCTATCTATCTATCTATCTATACATAGACATGTATATATGCATATGCCGTTGTTTTATTTATGGAGCTAGTGACAAAAATAATTATTAAAGTATTTTTGATTCTGATTCTGATTTGAAGTAAACAAACTCTCTGTCAAGTCGAGAGATTCCGACTCTTCTCACGGATGTTTTTTTACTCTTCTTCTGGTCTTACTTACAGAGTCCGTTGGGTCGAGCCTCCCGGGGCCCAGTAAACGGTTCGGCCCGCAGAGGCCCCCGAAGACCCAGGAGAGCTGGGAAACCGGCTTTGGGCAGAAAGAACCGGACCCCGGGGACCCCTCGGAGCCCCTGTTCCAGCCCCGGTACGAGTTGGGGTACGGGGACCCGGGCGTGATGGAGGTGGGGGGGGATCTGGGCTACGGAGAACCGTACGAGGAGGAGGAGGAGGTTTCGGGGAACCGAGGGTCGCCCTCAAAAACCACCGATACGGGCGCAGAGTTCGGCTGCATGCTGATAAACGAGGAAGGATTCCTCCAGGACCCAAACGCCTCGTACGCCGATCAGGTCTCAGGAAACAGGTCGAGTTTCCGGGGATCCTGCGTCCAGTTCGACCCCTGTCTGGACGCCTTAGATTTAGGAGAATCACTACAACATCCAGCTGCCCTGAGAGGGGAGAAAAACTACAACAAGCCCGATTCAGGTCACCTAAAAACGCATAAGGAGACACAGAAAGAGGCACAGTACTCCTGCAACCAGTGTGGGAAAACCTTCTCCCAGGCCTGTAACCTCAGGGTCCACCAGAGGGTCCACTCTTCCCAGGGGCTCCATCCGTGCGGTCTCTGTGGGAAAGGCTTCCCGTCCCCCGCCGACCTGAGGACGCACCGGTGCGGGCAGCAGGCCGGGGAGAAACCCTACTGCTGCGCGGTGTGCGGGAACAGGTTCAGCCGGCTGTGGAACCTGAAGCTGCACCGCAGGATCCACACGCAGGAGAAACCGCACCGCTGCGGCATGTGCGAGAAGAGCTTCACGCGGGCGGACATCCTGAAGGTGCACCAGAGGACCCACACCGGGGAGAGACCCTACCGCTGCCCCGTCTGCGGACTCAGCTTCAAACGCCTCGACCACCTCAAGTCCCACCAGCGCAAACACACGGCCGACCTGTGAGAACTGGGGGCGGTGGTAGAAAAAAGGTCCAAAAAAGGCTTGTGTTTACACACTATGGGTGTTTCCTGATAAGACGGACTTGTCAAATCTAAAAGAAAAAGGAAAACGAAGATAAAAGGCTGTCATGTTTGAATATACTTTATTGATCTCCAGGGAGAATTGACTTCCAGTACAGCCCGTACCAGGATAAAACAAACAAAACATACATCATACATACATTGGGAAAGTGGTTGCGGGAAGAGGGAAAAAAAAAAAGGCCCAATGCCACGCCCCCTACAGGGGACATAACAGTGATTTAAAATAATAAAAAAACACCTTAGTACACAACATCACAACATCAAGGACACATAGGGAAGGAGGGATAGGGGGGTTGGAAGAAAGGGGAAAGGTAACAGTGAGTCCAAGGAATGGACTGGAAGTCAATTTCTCCCTGGAGATCAATAAAGTATATTCATATTTCTCATGTTTTATTTATAAGCCTCCTTTATACACAAATATCGCGACGTATTTTATCTGCCAGCGGTAAAGACAAAAAATAGTAACGTTATGATTTTGTTTACTCGACTGCTTCAGAATAAAACTGACTTCATTCTGGCTCGTTTACTGTGCTGTTTTACTTTGCGGTTGCTGTTGGATCCCGTAAAAATATCCCGTAAAATGTATTTACACTGTTACGTCAAACAGCTATTTACAGGAAAACACATTTGGAACTCAATCACTTTCCCTATTAGAGAGAATATTTTCAAACAAAGGGGCTCCAATTAGGAGTATTTTTCTTACGAAAAAACTTAAATCTTAGTAGATGGACTGTCCCTTCATCTGGTGTGTTTTGCTAATAAGAGTGAAGCCTCATAAACATGGGGAACATGTGACCTCCACACAGAAAGGACCTCAAACCTGGAACCCTTTCAGTCCCAGGGGACACAGTTATGCCCATCATTACAAGTTTGAAATATCAAATATGTTCAATCAAGATATGAAAGTAAATGTGTTGATTGTATTAAAGGTTTCACTTCTCAGTTCTTATCTGACAGATCCATCAGGTTTAGCGGGGTTCCCTTAAATAAAACGGCTGAAAACAAGCTGAGGCTATAGCTGCTACATCATATTTATAAATAACTTAGTTAGCGATAGGATAAATAATAATATACAAAGCAGAGGGACCAAATAAGAGCATGTATTTATTCCTTATACACAATATGAACAATAGAATCGATAGTTAAATCTCTAACTTCCACGTAAATCCAAATTACCTAAAATATTCTTCTTTTTTTATTATAGGGAAAAAAACAACTTATCTTGAATAAATAACTGACCCTATTTGTTTTGTTTATCTTTCTCTTTTCAGTTAAATATTCGTGTATTATGTGCCGACAGAATAGACTGAATTGACCCCAAAATGCATTTTTTATTCCAAGAAAAAGGTTGAAATGAAGCTGCTGGTTGCAGCCAGCGGGTTTCCCTTCAGAAAAACGCCTTTTCGCCTCCTTTCTGTCCCGTCGAGGCCACCGTACGGCGCTCCCCGATGACGTCACGTCCAGCAGGGAAGACCCACAAGTGGGTGTAGGTGTCGGGGCTTGTTTTTAACATCAGTGGCCATGAGTTAATTTAGCTGAACAGCAAAATAACGGTGGGACTTTTAAGACAGTTCACTCCCCGGTAAATAAAACCAGCAGCCGTTGGAAAAACTGTTTTAACGGCTCTACCGAAACCGGAAGTTGGCAGTTGAATGTCAAACTACGGAGGCAGGTTAGCTAGCCAGTTTTACCTCCACCTCCTAGCGTTTGTAGTTTGTTTATCTGTCAAACCCGGGAGTTATTTCCGTCTCACTGGATTCCGCTTCCAGCAGGATGTAGCGGGATTTCTCTGCGTTTTTCCCGAAGCGAAGCCCGGTGTTTACCGCCCGAAGCTAACCCGGGGTGCGCGCGCAGCTTCCGGCGCCATGGCGG